CCCCCCGCCCCCCGATTCTGCGAGCCTGAAGGACACCGTGCATCACAGGCATGGCTCGTACGTACGCAGGTGTAGCGCTTTACGTCCACCTTGGGCTCCTTCCCGTCATTACTTAAAGGAAAAGCAGCCTGTTCTTCACCAGCCTCCAGCAAGAACAGGCGTATTTCAGGGTGTCTCTGTGGCGCCCCGGGGCGCTGTGGGCTGGGCATCAGGCTGCTAACGATAAGGTCAGTGGCTCACCCCACAAGCCACTGCCCAGGAGAAAGCCAAGGGCTGCGCGCCTGAGAGCCACAGGTGGGGCTGCGCCTGGCAGTGGCAAGTGCTTAGGGGGCGCCCTGGTGGCGCGGCAGTGAAGCTGCTGCCCCGAAGGTGGGCGGGCCAACTGCCATCTGCTTGGAGGGGTGGGGATGGGCAGCCTGCCTCGAAAAGGTCTGCAGCCTCGGGAGCCCCGCCCCGGGGAGCGGTTCTGGACAGGACAGGGTCCCCGGCGCCTCTGGGGGCCAACAGTGGACCTGTGTTTCTATCAGCGAGGAATTGGCAACAGGGTGGATTTGCACACAGTTGCTCCCTCAGTTTGTTACCCCCCCTTGGGTGGGGACAGTTGTGCACTAACACTGGCATCTGCTCCCTGCTCAGCGCCCACTCCCACCCCTGGCAGACAGCTCTCGGTTAGACAGACCCGCAGCCAGGTAGGGCCTGGGGCTGGTGCCCTTGGGGTGTCTGGCTCTGCCCCGGCTCTGGGCCTCGGGCTCCCGGGGGACCGGGCACAGGTTTGCATGTGCTTTGCTCTTCTCGTCCTCAGCCTCAGCCGTGATCTTGGGCCTGAAGGGCTACGTGGCCGAGCGGAAGGGGGAGCGTGAGGAGATGCAGGACGCCCACGTCATCCTGAATGACATCACAGAGGAGTGCCGGCCCCCTGCCCTCATGTGAGCGCCCTGACCCCACCTGCCTCGTGTGGGCGCCCTGACCCCCACCTCCCCCGTGTGGGCACCCTGACCCCACCTCCCTCGTGTGGGTGCCCTGGCCCCCACCTCCCCCGTGTGGGTGTCCTGGCCCTCTGGCTCACAGGCTACAGTACAGCACTGTACACAGGACTCAGGCATTCAGGGCTCCTGGGGGCACTTTAAAGGCATCTCTGTTGGCTGGCCAGTCTGGACTCACCAGGCTTCCGTGGGGGGTGGGGAGAGGCCGCCTGCCTCCATGAAGGTGAGGCCTTGGGGACCTTCTTGGGAACCGACTGGATAGCAGTGAGCCCACCTTTTGGTGGGGTTGGGTGGGGTTGGCAGGTGTTTACTGCTGCCATCTGATGGACAGAGGCCAGGGACACTGCTAGACATCCTGTAAAACACACGCACTCCAGAGAACTTTGTGGCCCAGCTGCCCCCAGTGCTGAGGCTGAGATGCCCACTGAGTGGGAAATGGCTCCCCACCACGCTGCCCAGGGCTGGAGGGGCTTCTGGCAGGACGTGCCCTTCTTTGTGGCCCAGACGTAGTGGGCGGTGACTGGCTGCTGCAGATGGTCAAGACCCAGGAGGAAGCCCAAAGGCCGGCCCACACCCAGGGCAGTGCGATGTTTCCTGATATGGGGCAAATGAGCGGGCAGCCTTCTGGGGGACCTTGTAGCAACAGAAGGTGGCACATGCAGGCCCAGGGGTATTGTGCACCCAGACTGCCATAGACCATTGCTGTCAAGAACGGGGCTTCTCCTGGGGTGCACGAGAGATTGGAGGGCCAACTTATTGCAGTTTTGGGGACTGTGGGGATCTAGTCCACTAGGATGGGAACACCAGGCCAACACGAAGCCGTGGTCTGAGCCCATTCGATTCTCGCTCTTCCTCCTGTGTTCGCCCTGACCACTGCAGAAGCAGACCTCCAGGCCTTCCTTGCACAGGGCTGCTGGGGCAGACCATGTGCACCACCCGGGACCCTCATCCGGAGGAGTTCCAGCATTGACCCACAGGCACGGGGCAGGAGTTCCAGGGCTGTCCCACAGACACGGGGCAGGAGTTCACGACTGTCCGCAGACACGGGGCAGGAGTTCACGACTGTCCGCAGACACGGGGCAGCCCCGGTGGGCAGTGGCATTTCTCAGTTTCTCAGCGGCATTGTCGCAGTGATCTGCTTGAAGCAGTTCGCCAGGCCCTTTCCTCGTGTGGGAGTGTCAGATGAGGAGTTAAGTGCTCAGATTCTAGTGGAGACGTTGGGCTTTCAGAGCCACCTGGCAGTGCCCTGGAAGACGGGCGAGGTGCTCGGCTTCTGGAAGGTCAGCTTAGTGAGGACCCCTGAGCAGAACCTCAGTGTGGGCCCGGCCGGGCTCTCGGGGTCGTGTCAGAAGACGTGAGCACTCCGGGGGTTCTGCTGTTGGCGGAGTCCCCATTTGCCCCACCCACGTGAGCTGGGAGCGGGAGCAGTGCGGGCAGCTCGGTCACTCTCCCCTCGTCCGTCCTTCCAGCGCACGTGTGTCCTACTTCGCGGTGTTTGATGGACACGGAGGGATTCGAGCCTCAAAATTCGCAGCACAGAATCTGCACCAGAACTTGATCAGGAAGTTTCCCAAAGGTGAGAGCCGCCGAGGCCACCAGTGCTCGCTCACGGTCCGGGAGGTCGCAGTGGGTCCTTGTGCTTTTGTCAGGGGTCTGATGATCTGGAGAGGGTGGGCTCAGGGACCCCAAGGACGCCGTTAGACGGCACTGTCTCCGGGGAGCATCTCAGACTTGCACTCGCTGGTGCACACACTGCCCAGCGGGAGGGGGCACCTTCTCTTGGTGAGCCGTGTCCTCCTGGGACAGGGGATGTCGCCAGTGTCGAGAAGACGGTGAAGCGATGCCTGCTGGACACGTTCAAGCACACGGACGAGGAGTTCCTCAGGCAGGCGTCCAGCCAGTGAGTGTGGCTGTGGCCTCCCCGCCTCCCCCGCTCCTGTCCTGGGGACACCTTGGGAGCAAGGGGGGAGCAGGAGGAGGGGAGCAGTCTTATCTCGGGTTCCCGGGAAGCCTGAGGAAGACAGCCTCTGAAGTCTAGGATGAGGGGCGGCTGGGTGGTCTGGGGAGGTGGCCGTGCCAGTCTAAGCCCTAGGCTGGACCCTGGACTTCCATTGCGAGGGCTGGCCAGCCCAGGTGACTGTCTGCTGTGTCTCCCCAGGAAGCCTGCCTGGAAGGATGGGTCCACTGCCACGTGTGTCCTGGCTGTGGACAACACTCTGTACATCGCCAACCTCGGAGACAGTCGGGTGTGTGGTGGGACCAGTGTAGGTTGGCGGTTGGGCTGGACCATGGGGCAGCGGGGCTGTGGTGGCCCCTCCCCCCATAGCGCTCTCCACTCCTGGACGTGCTGTCCTGCTTCAGACAGTGCTGCCCCAGGCGCTCGGAGGCTTCGCCTGCGGTGTCTGCACGGGCTCCTGGCCCCAAGGCCTTGTACCGAGCCTCAGCCAAATCCAAGAGTCCAGGCTGAAAGCCCGGGGTTTGTGTACCCTGGGGGCCGGCTTCAGGACCGCTGTCCACTCTAGTGTGATGTCAGCCTCCAGCTCTGGACAGCCATGAAGGAAGGCCCCCTCCCCACCAGTGCACAGCCTCTTTGGTTGCTGCTGTCAGTGGGGTGACTGCTGGTAAATTGTCTTGATTCCCTGGTGTTACAAACAAGTGACTTCAAAAATCTCATGAGGAAAATTGGCATCAGAAAAGGAGCAAAGATTTTGGGGTCAGAAGCCCCTTCCCTCCTGGCCCTGCAGTGTGACTGTAGGACAGCCGCCCCTCTGTGAAATGGGTGCGGCAAACCCACCGCAGAGTTGGTGACAAGCACATCAGCATGTGCTTTTGCGGGTTTCATGACAGGGCTGCAGGGGGGGGGCTGCGTCCGGCTTGTGCCTCACAGATGCAGGGTGCTGCCCTGAGCCGGCAGTTGGTTGGTGTGGTTCTCCCTGTGGGGTCTCCCTTGCCTGCCCTGCTGTGGCGAGTGGCTCCACGAGCTTCAAGCTTCTCTCTGGGGCCCTGGGTGGGTGGACCGCAGACTCTACTGGCTCCTGACCTGAGTCGTCGTCCGTCCGTCTGTGTCCCCCCCTGCAGGCCATCTTGTGCCGCTACAACGAGGAGAGCCGGAAGTACGCCGCGCTGAGCCTCAGCAAGGAGCACAACCCCACCCAGTACGAGGAGCGCATGCGCATCCAGAAGGCTGGGGGGAATGTCCGGTAAGGCCACTGGGCATGAGGAGTGTGGTGTGGGCCCAGGAACAACTGTGGCCCCGGGGCAGCCTTTCTTCAGGGCTGGGCACTTGTGGGTGAGCTGCACTTTAGGGAGATTCTCCCGAGGGAGGGGGAGTAGGCCATGGGCCCTGGGGGGCTGTTTTTACCCCCCTTCCTCCAAGTGTTGCCCATTTTCCACCCTCGGGTAAATGCTGCGCCTTGGGGCTTCAATGGATGATGATTCTGACATCCAGGCCTGAGGGCTGATTCAGGACCAGAGGCTTGGGTGCCACCACCCCCTCTGGCCCGTGAGCCTGGTCTCTGGCGATGTCTTGAGCCCCCCCCCCCCTCTCTGTCTGCTGGGCCTGGGGGTCCTTTTCAGGAGACTTGGTCTTGGTCACTGGGCACCCCTGTGGAGACTGAAGTGTCTGGTCCCGTGAGCCTGGACTGGGCTCTGGGTTTCCCCACCTTTCTTCTGCATGGGGTGAGACTCCTGCAGGTGGGAAGCAGGACATGCTGTGAGAGGTGTGTGTGACACTTGTCCTGAGCCCCTCACGGTTGGCACGGGAAGTAGTCATCCTCAGTCCGTTGTAGGGGCTGGTGTGTGGCTTTCACGCCTCAATCCCTGCTCAGACCTGCCCTGGGGCTCACACTGGGCAAGTGACCTCACAGGGCCTTGTGCTGGGCACCTCACCCTGGGGAGCTCAGGATGCTCTGCCAGCTGACCCCTGTGACCTTGAAAGACCCATCTGCAGGAGCCTCGGAAGGCTGGAGGCTGAACACCAGGGACCCTGAGTATTTCAGCAAGGTGCCTTGGCACTCGGCCGCCCAGAGCTGAGTGGGGACCGTGAGAGTGCGTGAGCACTTACGCGTGTCAGGTGAGGGCACAGCACACTTCAGGGACACCAGGAAGCAGTCAGCTTCTCCCATTGAGCCGCCTCCCAGATAGGCCCTGTGGGCAGCATCTCACAGGCCAGTGGAGGCTGGGCTGACCTGACATCCTGAGCCAGCAGGGGAGTCCTATCCGGACTTCTGGCTTCCATAGGCCTACCAGCTCTGGGAGGAATGTCGGTGTGGGGTGGGGGTCTCAACTTCCCTGGTACACAGGACCACCCTGTCTGGGGGGGCTTGAGGGCAGTGCTGGGCTCTGGGCACAGTCTCCTGACAGGTGGGTGGAGTCTGGCGCTGCTCACACAGCCCACCCGAGGTGAGCGCATGCCCCTGGAGGCTGGGGCTGCTTGTCGCTCCCGGTGCCCGTGTCTCAGGTGGACATGCAGGCACTCGGATGGTGACACCATTGTCCCCGGAGGCCTGGCCCTGCTCTGCATGCGGTCCACTCTGCTGTGGGACAGGCCCTGCCAGGTGAGGCTGAGCGTCTCCTGCCGTTCCAGGGACGGGCGTGTCCTGGGAGTGCTGGAGGTGTCACGGTCCATTGGTGATGGGCAGTACAAGCGCTGTGGGGTCACCTCTGTGCCCGACATTCGGCGCTGCCAGCTGACCCCTAACGACAGGTAAACCCCTGCCAGAGGGTACTTGTCTATGCCCCCCCCCAGAGCCCTGCTTCCCTGCCTGACTGGCGCCTGTGTGTCTGACAGTGGGGCTGGACCTGTGCTGGGCCCTGGGAGGGGAGGTCTGAGGGTGGGGCGGGGTTTGGCCAGGCAGGAGGCCAGGGTGCACGGAGGATGCTGGGGCTTGGGGACGTGTGAGGGTCCTGTGTCCATGCTGGGCAGTTTGAATTGGAGGCCGCTTTGGAAGAGACTAGTCGTTTCTTCCCTCTGACCTTCCTGAAGGAGGTGGCTCCAGCCCGGCAGCTTATTCGGGAAGGTGGTGGGGATGGTTAGTGAGACCCCTTGGGGCTCAGGAGAGAGATTGGGGTCCTCCGGGACTGAGAGAAGCTCCCCTCTTCCCTTACGCCCGCACTCGGGACTGAGGAGGGGGCCGCTCCCAGCCTTTGTGCGCTCGCGTGGCAGGTTCATCTTGCTGGCCTGTGACGGCCTCTTCAAGGTCTTCACCCCAGAGGAAGCTGTGCACTTCATCATGTCCTGCCTGCAGGTAAGGCCCCTGAGGACAGGTCCTTGTTGCGTGGACAGCCGCGGCCCTTGGCTGGGACAGACATCTCGCCCAGGCCTCCTCCTCCCCGAGGGGCCCTTGTCAGATGCCCTCTCCCATCTCACAGGACGAGAAGATCCAGACCCGAGAGGGGAAGCCAGCTGTGGACGCCCGCTATGAGGCGGCCTGCAACCGGCTGGCCAGCAAGGCGGTGCAGCGGGGCTCTGCAGATAACGTCACGGTCATGCTCGTGCGCATCGGGCAGTGAGGGGCCAGCGGTGCCCGGGCACCGCGTGGCGCGCCCTGGGCTGTAAATAAAGGTTTTGTTTTTTTCCTAGTCCACGGAGTTCCCTTATTCCACCGCACAGACATGCTGTGTCGTCCTGCTCAGAAACGGGGACCCCCTAGGGGACCCCGCCGAGGCCCCAGCGCCCTCGCCCTTCCCTGTTTGCACGAAGGAGCGCTCTGGGCCTGGCCTGTTTCTCCAGGAGCGAGGCTGGGCTTGCGGGTCCTGGTTGGGAGGGACGCCTGGACACTGTGTGTGTCCTCTGGACAAGTCTGGGGGTGGGGGGGAGGGACTTCAGAGGTTATTGTGAGCCTGGGCCTGTGTTCACTCGGGTCACTGCCTCGGGTCAGTACAGCATGGTTACTGTCCAGCAAGCCCTTGCCCTGGGTGGGCTCTGTGTAAGTGTTTGCCTCGGGGGTGGGGGTATTCTGGACATCGTGGTCAGCTCCCTGGCACTGTTGCCTGGCCCCCACCAACAGTCACACCCGGTCTTAGAACCCCTCAGGGCAGTGGGTGGAGTTTGATGCACGGCCCAATCTTGAGAGGTGGTCAGGGGTGAAGAGGTTTTAGTGCCATGTCCCAGGGCAGTGTGGTGTGTGTGACAGACAGAATTGGGCCTCCCTTGGACACAGGTTCCTGCTTCAGAAGAGTGTGCCCAGGTCCCCGCCGCCAGCTCGGTGCCCACCTGACCTGCCTTTCTCTTCCTTGGGACCCTTCAAGACTCAAAACATGGAAGGGTGTCTTCGGCAGTCTTTATTTTGGCCCCTGGGCAGTTTAGCTGCTTCGCTGAGACGAGGTCTCTCAGGACTCTTCCTGAGCCCTCAGTCCACCTCCAGACACCGGCTACGGAAGTACACCCCATAGGCAGTGTTCTACAATAAATACATCAGTAACGGCTAGAACACACAGATAATGTAGACTTTCTCGAGGGCCAAAGATAACCTCCGGTAACTATCTGCGCCCAGAAGGGGCCGCCTTATCTGCCCCAAGGGGAGGGCAGGGCAGGCCCTGCCCGGCGGGCTTCCTAGTAGGGCGGTGGCCAGGCCTACTGGGAACCCAGGAGCCCACCACACTGCTCGGGGTGGGGATGGGCGCTGGCCTGGGGACAGGTGTCGGCTCCTTCAGGCCTGGTGGCCAGGGGCTGACAGTGTACCCTCTCCATGTCCAGCCTACCACTGTCCTAGTCCGAGTGACCTTGGGCTTGGACTTCCTGGACATCGGACATCTCAGTGGGACAGTTGCTGTGAGTGCTGGCTCGGGTGGTGGCCACCCTTGGCTACAGGAATGTTTCCAGTACCGTCTGCTGGACAGTCCTGGGTGTGGGCTAGAGCTGACCCCCCTTGGAAGGGGATGGTCAGCTAGGCCTTGGGGACTTGCTGAGGGGAAGATGTGGCGTACCTACGGGGTGCTGTCTGGTCTGAAGCTGCTGTGCCCCTGGCTTGTGGTCGAGGGTCACGAGGGGTGTCTGCAGAGCAGGCCTGGGCACTGAGGTCCCTGAGGGGCTAGCTGGCCTTGCACCAGGTTGTGACCCTCGTGGGAAGGGGCTGGGCAGCCGTTGGGGCCCCAGATCCTGGGGAAGCTTCCTGAACAATAGCCAGATGACGTCCATCGTTTAAGATGCTCCCTTAAGTGTCCTGGACCCCCAGCCTCTCTCCTCAGGCTGTGGTGTGGCAGGTGGGGACGGCAGCCCAGCTGCCAACACTGCCCTGGAAGGAGCTGTGTCCAGCAGGGAGGGCCTGTGGCGGCCTCTCAGACGCCCAGCAGGACAGCACTGAAGCGCGAGCCACTGCACACGGTGAGGGGGGCGCTGCTGACGTTGTCCACGAAGACGGAGGTGTACTGCCCAGACTGCAGGAGGGAGGGACGAGGGGCCTCAGGCTGGCCCTGTTCAGTCCTCCCTGTTCAGTCCTCTGGTGGCCTCCCTGTTCAGTCCTCTGGGACAGGTCACTCAGGACAGCCTCTCTGGGACTGCATTACTCAGATCAGACAAGTCCAGGACACAAGGTCCTCCAGTCTGGAGCCTCAGTGACCCGGGCAGACGCCATGGCAGCTGGGTGGCCCTGGGCCAGTAAGGCCCAACAAGCCCCATGCCACTGACCTCAGTAAGTGCCGCCCGCCCGGCCTCCCAGCACTCGCCAAAGTCCCCACTGAGGGTTTGGGGTCCTGGTGGCACCCCGGGTCACGGGCTGGACTGCAAGGTCAGCCGTCCATGGAAGGAAGGTGAGGCTTCCCTTCCTGCAAGAGTTGGTCTTGGGAGCCCATGAGCAGTTTCACTCTCTGTCCTGTGAGGGCTGAGGGAACCAGGGACCCTGCCTTGTGCTCCACTCTCGTGCAACAAGCGTCACCCCACAGAACGGGACGAGCCAGAGTCTGGGGCACAGAGGCCAGTATGAGTTATCCCCCCACCCCCGTGGTCAGTTCTCACAGCCCCGTGCCCCGCCCACGGGCCACGCACCTGCAGGAACAGAACCCCGCTAGTGGCGATGGTGAAGAGGTCACTGCTGTGTGCCAGCCCCACGACGGTCTCCAGGGAGCTGTGGCCACGGAGAAGCCCATCAGCTGGTCCTGCCCGCTGCCCACTCAGCCATCGTGTGCCCCCCCCTACCCCAGACCCCAGTGGTCCCACGGGGCTGAAGTGCAGGGCCCGTCGAAGCCCAGGCTGAGGACAGTGAGGAGGGGTCCCCACCACCACCTGCTCCTACTCTGTGCCTGATGCCCCCATGAACCACAGGTGGGGGAGCCCCTGCCCAAGGGCCCCTGGTGCAGGTGGCTGGGAAGGGCCGGGTATCAGTGACACTCCGCCCCCTCCCCAAATTAATAAGCCCTGGGCAGCTGGTGGTGCTCGGACCACACTGGTCATGTGGATGTAGAAGGTGGGCCCAGGGTCTTTTCAAGCGCAGGGTGGGGCTGGAGGGACATGGGGTGGCGTGTGTGCTGCCCCCACTCACTGGTGTTGGCACTGGGACTGGATGCAGACTAGCAGGCGCAGGTAATCCCGGGCGAGTGGTGGCCTCGGCCCCACGGCGAATGCTGGGTAGGGGTAGGGGTAGGGGAAGGTCAGCCTCTGAGGCAACCTGGGAGTGGGGTGGGGCCTCGGGAGTGGGAGGGGGGAGCGGTGGGGCGGGGGCCCCCCCCGGGCCTCACCCACGTGCAGCGCTGCCGAGAAGGAGTAGAAGCCGCCCACTGGCGCTGTGTACCGGCCGCTGGTCAGGTTCAGGCCTGGGCCACGACTGAAGGGGTGCTCAGTGACGAGCTGCAGGCAGGGGAGCGGTCACCAGGGTCACCTGCTCCCTGGGGCCCCAGCTGCCACGGCCCCGGACTCACCACTTGGTAATGGCCAAGCTGGTGCAGCGAGTGGCCCTCGACCGGCGTGTCCCAGTGCAGGTGGCAGCAGAAAGCAGCAGTGACGCGCAGAGACTCAGACCTGAGGCGCGTGGTCAGCAGGGCCAGGACGCTGTCTGCCGCCGCCGCCTCCTCCAGGTCCTCAGGGACCGAGGTGGTCGGGTGGAGGGTCACAGGCTCGGGGTCTACGTCCTCCCGCTGCCGCAGGGCATCTATGCAGAGCACGGCAGGCGTGGGCACACCTGACTCCAGGTCACTCGGGACCCGACTGCCCACCGGGCTACTGCTGAAGCACACTCCCCAGAGCCCAGGAGACCCGGAGACATCCTTCCCGTTCCTGCAGCCGATCCTGTTTCCCTTCTCTCTGGCCACCTGGAGGGTCTGGCGGCCACCCACCCCTCACACCGGGTACATAAGTAACCATGCCGGCTTACAGCTCTGGGGCACTTACGATGGTCTGTTTTACCTCCAAACTCACAGGGCAGCTGAAGCCGCAGGGTTTCCACCACTAAGTCTTCCCGGGCAGAAGCTGCTGGCTTCCCGCCTCAGACCATGCCTGCTAGTGGCCCCACACTGAAACCACGGTGCCCGCGGGAGCAGCCCGGGACGATGGAGCATTCTACATCTGAAGATTCCCTCTTGGAGACTCACAGGGGCAGTTCTACCATGCCCTGCAGGGCCCTTGGCGTTGGGATCTAGTCCAGGGCAGGGAGTTGTTTTTCTGTTAGTGTGTTTTGTTGTTTTTTTTTTTAAGTTGAATTGAGGGAGGAGAACAGACTCCACAAAACAAAATGAAAATCAAGTCCACTGCCACTGGATCCATTGAAACTCATGGGGCCCGATAAAGGGTTTCAGAGACGGAAAGGGAGTAGACAGCTTGCTGGTGCCCTCCCTGAGGCTGAGGAAGAACGTGCTCTGCCCGGGGTGAGCCCCTTGCCTCTTTGTCTTGGAAAAGTGGCTGGTGCACTGGGGAGGTGGGCATCAGGGGCTATGCCAGCCTGCCCGGGGCATGAGTGGCTGGGGTCTCTGCCTTGGTTGGTGTGTGCTGTACCTAAGCACCTAGTCCACCCCAGCCTCTGGCTCTGGGCAGACAGGGTGTCCGAGCAACTCGGTGGCCCCTTGGCTGTGCACATGACAGGTGGCCTTTGTGTCCAGCGCCACTGGGTGCCTCCAGGGCCACCCTTGAACCTGCTCACACTAGTTAGGTGGGGGTCTCGTGGGTGCATCTCCCTACCTTTCAGCAGCTGCTGGAACTCCCTCAGAAGCACCTCTGATGTGACAATGGCGCCAGGGGGGCCTTGAGGGCCGGGGGGGCCCGGGGGGCCTGGCAGGCCCAGCTGAAAGGAAGGGCCAAGGCAGTGAGGGCGCCTGAGGAGGGCCCGGCGCCCAGGCTCGGCCCATAGCGGGAGGGGCCAAAGTGTCCGAGGTGGGAACAGCAGCTGCTGGGGACCCCTGACCGGGCAGTAGTGGGGGGGCTGTGAGGGTGCTGCTGTGCTACACTTGGGTTACTGGGGCCCTGGCCTGGGTCTTCTCCACCCTCCCTGCCACCCAGCCCAGGAAGTGGTCTGTGTGGTGTTGAAGGGCAGGGTGGACTGTGGGACGTGGCTGGGAGCCAGTAGGGGCCCTGGGGGAGGACCAGCAGGTGGGGGGCCCTCTCACATGCATGTTCACCCTTACCCTCTTCACCCACACACATGCACACTAGTACACCCAGGCTCACTCACAGACACATTCATGCACTGTCATACTACTGTCTCACACATGTTCTCACACAGTCACATACACTCACCCAGGATCACACCTGTACTCAATCACGTGCTCACACAGCCACGCACACACTCACACAGGATCATACATGCAGTCACAGGATCACACACATGCAGTCACACATGCACTCACATGGTCACATGCACTCACACACACACCTGCACTCACACAGGATCACACACATGCATAGCACACACACACTCACGGAATCGCACCTGCACTCACACGGTCGGTCACACACCCGCCCACCTTCGGCTTCCTGGCCTTCCCTCGGCTCCTCCTCCTGCTGTTGACACCCCTGTCGCTCTGCTGCAGGAAGAACATCCAGGAGTCCCGGGGGTCCACGGCGTGTGCCTGCTTGGTGGTGGGCTCCTGGAACACAGCCAGCCCGAGGTTGGGCCCTGTTGCTTGTCCACAGTGCTGCTCTGAGCGCCCCATAGGCAGTACCCCACAGTGCCCCACAGACCCTTCTGGTCCCCTCTCAGCACCCCAGGACTAGTCTGGGAGAACCAGAAGGGAAGACAGGCGGGAGATCTACCCCCTGGCACCACCACACCCCTGCACCCTCCTGTCTTCAGCATAAGCCGGGCTGAGAAGCTCATCCCACAGTCACTGGGAAGCGGGTGTCCAGGGAGTGACCCCCACCTTCCAGCAGACACCCAGGGCTGCAGGGTGGCCAGGGACCCAACAGCCCAGCACCAAGGACAATGCCAAACACATTTTTTAAGGCTCCTGGCCACTTGGCCCAGGCATGGGGCTGAGGGTTCCAGAAACATCCATTCCATCCCATGACCCCTTCCTGCCCAGCTCCAACGCTCAGACATTGCGGGGAGAAGCCTTGAGCCCACTGGGCAGTGGGCCTGGGAAGGTCCAGGCTCCAGGCAGACCCACCAGCTGGGAAGCGGTGAAACTCAGGGGGACTCAATGAAGCCAATGGGTGCTAGCTCCGGGGGCCCAGGAAGGACAGCAGGACTCTGGAGCTGGCCAGGCCCTTTGGTCAGAGAAAGGTGGGGCCCATGCTCTCTCCAGCCACCCTATAGGACCATCCTGCCTTCGGGAGCATGGCCAGGTGGCAGGGCCATGAGGATGCTCACTGTAGCCCAGAGGAGCTGGCCTCAGGTCATGCCCAGCAGCAGGGGAGGTGGCAGGGCCGGCCTGCCTTCTCTCTGGGCAGTCTGTTCTGAGCAATGGGGACACCCAAGCCCTCAAGTCCACCTCTGTCCACACTCAGGTGTGTGGGTGATCTGGGAGGTGGGGCTTGGGGGAGGGCAGGGGTGGGCCTGCAACCGCATACCTGGGTTGGACTAGGAGTCTGGGGAGCCAGCAGCTTAGAGCCTTCTCCAGAAGAGGCTGGCTCCCAGCAGAGCCCCACCGAAAGCACACTGGCACTCTGCAGGTGCCCCAGGGTCAGGGGTACCCACTGGTGACTCAGCCCAACTGCCAGCCGCCCTGCCGCACCTTGAAGAAAAGCCACAACCACCCCCTGTCTCCCTCCCCAGACCCCAAAGACTCGCACCAAAGAGATTCACAGACTTCGTGAGACTCTGGGAGCCGGATCTGGGGTTTCCAGACTGCGGCACCTCAGCCCGCCCGCAGAGTGAGGGGCTCACAGCTTCGAACCGCTTCTTCCTGTGCAGCCAAGCACTTAACCCACCGCGCCACCAGGCTCAGTCCCAAACTCACTGCCATGAGTCGAAGCCGACCTCACAGTGACCCCACAAGGCCACGGTGGACCCTAACTCTACGGGAGTAGAGAGGCTGTCTTTTCCCGAGGAGCGGCTGGTGGCTTCCAACTGCTGACCTATGGTCAGCAACCCAGAGTGGCCACCGGTAAGGGGTCTGTAAGGTAGGCCCCGAGGGGCCCCGGTGGCGGCGGTGAAGAGCGGGTCCCTCCGGCGCGCCCACGAATGCGCGTTTTCAGCCCCACTTTGGAACGGGTCCTGCCCACTGCGTTCCTCCGGGGAAAGCTGGGGCCCGGGGCCGGCGTCTTACCGGGCGCACTCGGCCCTCGCCCGGGCCCGCGGGCAGCTCATTTCCGGGCAGCGGCTCCGGGGGGGCGCGTGCGCCGGGTTGCGGGGACACCAGACCCGTGGCGACGGCGGCGGCCAGGAGGCCGCACACCAGCAGCGGCTGCGCTCCGACGCGGGGGTGGCCCGGGGCCATGCGGGTGGCGGCGTCCCCTGCAGCGCCCAGCTGGCCAGGCGGAGGCCGCCAGCGGCGCCTTATAAAGCATTGGGACCTGCGCCCCGCCTGCCCGCGCGTTGCAGGAGGAGGGGCCTCGGGGAGAAGATCGGGAGGGGAAGGGGGAGGAGTAGGAGTTGAGGGTGGGCGCGGGCTCTGGTGTGGGAGAGATTGTTCCCATCTGCTTCCAATCCCTCTAACTTCAGCTGGATGGCGAGCCAGGGTGCCCTCCTGCTGACCCTGGAGGGCCATTGCCCCTGCTTGGTCCTCTGCTGAGACTCAGAGGCCACGCCCATGCTCTGATTCTCCTCCTCCGCTGTTTGGTGGGGTGGACAGGAGCAGGGTGACTCCTTGCCCCCCACCCCTTCTGGGGCTTGGGGGGTGCCCTCCCTTCCAGACTGGGGGCCCCAGTGCAGGTACCTCTGGTTCTTTGCCACCTGGGCACACATGCAGGGACTTCGGGGTGGTGGGAGGGCCATAGTGTCCCTCACCCTGGCAGATACCTCCATTGCTGGGGGCAGAGCAGGAGGAGGGGAGAGGACTGGCCACCATAGTCTATGTGCAGGAACCAGGCCAGGAACCAGGCTGCCCTTGGCCTGGCGTTCAGCCTAGAACCCCATCCCCAGGCTGGCCTGGTTTGTACCCTCTGCCTCCCTGTCTCCTCCATTGGAAGAGGGTCTCACAGGGCACGCTGTAGCCTTGCTGGGAGCTGCCAGTCAGTCTGGCCGAAGAACGTGGTGCTCGTTGCTCTGTGCTCTGCTTGGGGAGATGCAGCTGCCTGGTGTCACAGAGCTCTAGCTCGCCAAAGATTCCATAGGGGCATTTTGATCAAAAGGGGGAAATGTAGCAGGGCTTTCACTTTCTCAGAGTCCAGATTTGGGGGTCACAGGCTGCACAAACCCCTGAAATGTTGGCTCAGAGAGAGTCTTTGAACCTTAAAACAAAAATGTCGTGCCCAAGGGCTTCTTCAGGCCAAGCCACGCTGGCACTCACTCAGGAGAGGGCAGCTGCCTTGAGCAGTGTGCTGTTTGAGAGGCGGAGCCACGGGGGATGCAAGTGACCACAGGTTCGGTGCGGGACAGTGAGGTCATGTGAATGAGGGAGGGAGAGCTCTGTAGAGGTCAGTGAGGATGGCCAAGGTCACTGGATTATATGTGGAGAAACTTGACCTTCGACTGTGTGTTCCCCAGAACAGC